AGACTAAACAACCCAAGCTCCTCTAGTCTCCTTTCATACGACAGGTTTTCCATTCCTCTGATCATCCTAGTGGCCCACCTCTCCCTTCCCATTTGTTTTCTTTATCCATGAGGCCGACATGTTACAAGAAAATATTAATTTTAATTAACTCACTGGGTATATCCTGTGCTTCATTGCAACAATACCATATGGCCTTTTCTGCAATAAAAAACAGATTAGTCAGGATAAGCTTTTTGAAAGATGGCTGATTAGAAAAAGCTGTTTTCCATATTGCCAAACAGCTAAAGCGTTGAATACAATTAATATTAAGCAGCCCTAGCTTCTCTCCACTACGTTACTCTTAGTTTAAAACTAGAAGTATACAGAATAAAAACACCTCGAACAGGACAAGTTTTCAAAATACTTTATAAATGAAAAGGCTCTCCCAGGGTAAAGATCCACAGGCAATGGCCTAATAAGAGTGTTCACTGAATTGTGGCGCAGTGATAATGTTATTACTTCTTCAGGAAAGCAGTGAGCTTTATTCTGTCAGTGAATAGTAAGGAAGCAGGAGTGAGCAAGACCAGGATACAAGTCAGCTACAAACAAAACACAAATCAAACTCTTAATCATCAAGGCTTATGCAGTTTGAACTAACCTTGTCTGACCAAACATATAGACGAAGCAACATAAAACTGTCCAAACATAAAGGAGCTACTCTGCAAACATTCATTGCAACATGTAGCTCTCACTATGTGGGTTGTGGAAAAACCTGGTTTCCCCCAGAATAAACTAAATGCAACTTCATGGATTTTTCCATTCTCAATTGTCACTTTGAAATATTTACATAAGTATTTCCAAGTTTTCTGTTGCTAAAAATGTTAGCTTTCCAAGGCTGAAAATCAAGCGTAACTATTCTAGAAAAGTTAAATGGGAAATGAATAACCTTGATAGGCTCATTAAAACTAAGAGGACATATGTTACAGAACTGTCTAGAAGCCTAAAGTGAAGGATGCTGAATGGAGACACTGGTGACTAGAGGGAGGCACAGGTACTCAGTGAAATCACTTGTCACTGTATGTTGACAGAGGGAGTATATCAAGTTATAAACTGATGGGAGCCAGAATGTTGCAGCTGAGTGGGGGATGTTGCAGGCTGTGGCCTATGGGGCTACAGTGAACGGGATGTATGTCAGGGCTACTGGCATGTGTGTTGAGGATAGGGAATGGTGGTTGGACTTTATGCGGGATGTGAGGAGCATTCAGGAGGTCTGTGTGGGATGGGATACATATGGGTGGGGGACCTTTACTGGCTAACTTACTGCAAGTGGAGAGGGGGCAATTTCCTAAATATACAGGGCCCCAAAATTCTTTAATCCAAGCCTATTCATAAGGTGTTTTTTCTTATTTTAACTGTAGAATCAATACTGCAGGCAGATGATTAACATTCAGTGCTTAATCCCAGTGCATATATTTGTTCAGTGGGCCTATAGATGAAAACAGTGTCAAGAAACAAGCAACTGAATGGACTGAAGTAGGTTTTTTTTTTTAAGAAAAAATATGTAAGCCTTATCAATAGTTATTAAGCAGCAAGAAACAGAAAACAGTTATGTTCATCTCAAGAAGTACAGAAATTTGTTTCTTTACATAGTGTGCCAACAAATGACACTTGTCTATTGAAGTGGAAAACCAGAAGATCTGAATAGTTTTCTAATCCTGCAAGTGAAACATTTTCAACACCACTAAAGTGTACCCAGACAAAAATAAAGCAAAAGAATTCTCGGGTGCAATCACCCTTAACTTTTGACTTCATGGCAGATCACAGGTGGTGTGTTTTCTGTTGTATGGGATTTTTTTTTAAGGAGAAAAAGTGGAAGTGTTTCCAGCGAAGGAAAGTAAATGGTATTAGCAGGGTCCAGCATATACCTTCTGCACCCAAATACAACATGCAGGTTTCTATACTTACCATTATATGGTATTTGGTATAGTAGTCAACAATCCAGGCAGGAATAAGGAGCCAACCTACAGTATATACACCAGCTCTGTACAGCTTGAAAGTCTGGAAATAAAAGTAAATGAGATTCCATGTTATTTTTCCTTACATTTTAGTATATACAAGGCCCCACTTCAACCTTTAATACCAGCTTTGCTTTTGTCTAGTTATTTTCAAGTGAAGTTAGCATCCAATAAGGCTGGCTAGATAGGCTTTAGTCTCGGGGCTTATTTATTCACAGGAGAACCCCTCAGCAGGACAGGGTTGGGGGCTAGGGGACCCCTGTGATCAAGGCTGCCCCGGAGTGGGAACGCCTCAGCAGAGCAGGGTTGGGGGACCCGGGCCTCGCTGACCTGCAGCCGCCAGAAGGAGCCCGGCTGCAGGAAGCGCTTCCAGAAGCGGTCCACTGGCCCGAGTTTCTGCGGGGGCAGAACGGGCTCGCGCGGACTCAGCTCCTGGTCCTTGAGCCAGCGGCGCCGCAGGGCGCGCAGCTGCTGCAGCCGCAGCTTCTCGTCGGGGGTGTAGCCAGCCATTCCGAGCGCCACTCGCCCAGCGCCGGGAACGCGACCTTCTCGAGGACAGGACACACCGCCAGAGGCGCACTCTGATGGCGTCACCACATACGCTCCCTATTGTTCAGGGAGAGGCGCAGTCTATGCGTTTCACCGACGCCGGAAGCGGAGACTCGGTGCTTCCGGTAACTTGTGTTGTCAATCACAGGCGCTATCAGGAAGGGATAAACTGTGTTCCGCCCCCTGCTGCTGGGAGGCCACGTCTACTGCCTGAGCCCAGGCGCATGCGCATAGCGGCCCCGTTGCCTGGCACCTCCCCTGCTCCTGGGCTGCCGAATCCGCAAAGGCCGGTTGGAGCCACTGCGTGGGCAGGCCGTAGCAGAGCGTAGAGCTGAGGGAGGGGGTGGGAAGGGGGCTAAAGCCTGGTGGTTAGGGTTGCCAACTTTTTCTATTTGCAGAAAATTGAACACCTTTGCCCCGCCCCTTTTCTGAGGCCACGCCCCCATCACTCCATCCCCCTCCCTCCATCATCACTCGCTCTCCAGCACCCTCCCTCATTCTCACAGGGCTGGCAGGGCCAGATTAACACAGGGGCTCTAGAGGCTGCAGCTAAGGTGACCAGAGGGCAAATGTGAAAAATCAGGACAGAGAGTGGGGGGTAATAGGAACCTATGTAAGAAAAAGACCCCAAAATTGGGACGGTCCCTATAAAATCGGAACATCGGGTCACCCTAGCTGCAGCCCAGGGCCTCGGGCTCAGGTGGGGCCCCACAAAAATAAATCTATAATTAAATACAATTCAGTGGTACCAACCTGTCAATCGCAATCGACTGGTCGATCCTGGAGCCTCTGCCAGTCGATCGCAATCTCCAGGTCGCTAAAAGTCCAGCAGCGCACCAGGGCTCAGGCAGTCTGCCTGCATGT